TCTTGCTTTGTCACCTAAACTGGAGTGCAGTGGCATGATCTCGGCTCACTGCAACCTCTGCCTTCCAGGTTCAAGCAATTCGCTTGCCTCAGTCTCCCAAATAGTTGAGATTACAGCCATCTACCACCACGCCAGCTAGTTTTTGTATTTTTAGTAGAGACAGGGTTTCACCATGTAGGTCAGGCTGGTCTCGAACTCCTGACCTCAGGTGATCTGCTTACCTCAGCCTCCCCAAGTGCTGGGATTACAGGCGTGAACCACCAGGCCCAGCTGAGTTTCCCTTCTTAAACCTTTGCCTTCACCCAAGAAAGCCACAGTGGTTGCTTTTGAAGTGAATCCACCCACTCTGCCATTGCTAGGTGGGGTAAATGAAGTTACTTTCTACCATATTTTGCTCTTGTTACTGGGCTTGACTCTCCAAGTGGCATTGGCTGGACCTGCCTGGGTTACATGGTCATAAAGTAACTTGGTATTGACCCCGCACTCCTCACATGCTTATTCCATGCACGAAGTTCTCTCTCGGCAACTCGGTGAGGTTTGCTCATCACGCTTAAGCCATCAGAAGTCCCATGATCACTTGAGGTCACTGTGGTGGGTGCTGTGGTGGGTGCTGTGTGGAGCTGCCACAACCCCCTTTAGGAGGAGACACTCACGTCCCCAGCTGCTGTGGGTGTCTCTCTTCTGGAATTGCCTTCTGTGCCTAGGAGCTGCCTAGCACCTGACTGTGTCCCCTTCTGAGGACAGCCACATCCAGTGTGGGGCAACAGAGGCCAGGTTGCCTCGCCTGAATGCAGGACAACTCTGAGGCCCTTCCCCAGCCCCCAAGCTACCCCATGCATTGCCTGAAACCTTGTGGCAACTGCATCTGAGCCCCACACTCCCTCCCAGGTGGGCTTCCTGAGAACACCTTCCCCCGCACCCCCCCATAAACCTCCTGCAGGTAAATCTCCATCTAAGAATCAGTTTCCAGGAACCAGGCAAAAAACAGTCACCAAACATTCTCAATTCAGGAGTTGGAAAGTTTGCTCCCATGCAAGACTTGGTTTTATAAAGGGAGATCTTCATCCTTTCCTATGAGGTTATGCAGGTGCAAGGCTTAGAGCTGTGCAAGGGAGGTGCCTGGCTTATTTCTTTCCCCTTCTGCCGGCTGCAGCTTGCAGCTGGTAATCTCCAACCCATAGTGAGTGGAATAATGGCACCCAAGAGATAGCAGGTCCTTGGAACCTGTATGATAGATACAGTGAAGTTCTTCCTCAAAAAGGAAGGCAATTAAGTCAAATAAGGCATATTCTGTTCCCTTGTTCTTTAATTTCTAAAGGCCTAACCCACTTGTTTCCTGATCTGCGTGGGCATGCCTGGACATGCCCAGGCATGTCCTAGCTTGTAACATATACTCCTTTCCTTATTTGGACATGTTATTGCTTTCCTAGTCTTTTCACAAACACTTTCTCCCTTTCTTTGTTCTCCGTTGCCTTCATCTATTTAGGAAACTTTTCAGCTTTTAGCCAATCGGGGTTTAGCTTAGACTGTGCCGTCCAGCTCCAGACAACGGAGGCTGGACACAGTACTAGAAGCCCCATGTGTTAGGGATAAAAAGCCCTCCTCTCCTTTGTTCGGGTGATCTCATGCAAACAGGCTTATAGGCAGCACCCTTCTGCAGAAGTAAAGTTGCCTTGCTGAGAATTTCTTTGAGTGATCATTTTCTTTGTGATGCTGAACTTCTACTTCCAACTCTGTAAGTTATCTCATACAGAAAGAGTCTTTGTTTGCAGACGTGATTGAAGACCTTGGGATGGGGAAATTGTCCTGGACTGTCTGGATGGGCTCCAAATATCATCACAAGTGTCCTTACAAGGGAGATACAGAGGGAGATTTGACACACACAGAGAAGAAAGCCACGTGACCAGCGAGGCAGAGACTGGCATTGATGCAGCCACTAGCTGAGGAATGCTGGCAGAAGCTAGAGGAGGAACTCTCCTCCTAAAGCCTTTGTAGCTGGGATGGCTCTGTTGATACCTGAATTTCAGCCCAGTGAGACTGATTCTGGACTCCTAGCCCCCGGAACTGAGAGAGAGTCCATCTCTGTTGCTTCAAGCCATTTAGTTCGTGGTCATTTGTAACAGCAGCTTCAGGAAACTCCTATGTGGTCTCTGGGAAAGGGAGAGGTCAGAGCAAGGCTAAAGGAACAGAGAAGTTTTTGTTTCATGGGCACAAGCAGGGGATGGCTCTGTGCTCTAGGGTGCTGGCAGCACTTTCTCTCCTGTGACTTCCCTGGCTCCTCCAGGGACGCCTCCCACCCGCAACCCACACATGGCTGAGGTAACATCTGCGCATCTCCATGTCCCTGATGCAAGGGATGCCTTATCCACCAGCTTGTCTCTGGGTCCTTCTCCAGTCCTAGGAATCCAGCAAAGTCTTCAGTTTTATCTGCTAAGACCTGTTTGATGCTCCAGGCAGCCCTATCAGCCAGGTTTGGGGCTAAATTCGTACCAGCTTCCTCTGTCCCTGGCCCCATTCTGGTCCACAGAAACACTCACTTCCTTTGTTCCAACACATTTGGGGCAGTGCAGGAGCAGCTGATTGTCTTCACAGCAGCATGTTTAGAGTCAGGTGTTATAGATCCCCTTCTCCTAGGTGGGCAGAGAAGAGGCTTTTCAAAAAAAATACAGTAATTATTTATTTATTTAGAGATGGAGTCTCACGCCCTGCTCAGGCTGGAGTGCAGTGGCATAATATTGGCTCACTGCAAACTCCATCTCCTGGGTTCAGGCAATTATCATGTCTCAGCTCCTGAGTAGCTGGGACTACAGGCATGTGCCACCATGCCTGGCTAATTTTTGTACTTTTAGTAGAGACAGGGTTTCACCATGTTGGCCAGACTGGTCTTGAACTCCTGACCTCAGGTAATCCACTTGCCTTGGCCTCCCAAAGTGCTGGGATTACAGGCATAAGCCACTGCACCTGGCCCATCTTAGCCATTTTTAAGTGTATAGTCCAGCAGTGTTAGGTATGTTTACATTGTTGTGAAACAGATCTCCAGAACCTTTTCATCTCGCAAATCTGAAACTCTACACCCATTCAACAACTCCCCTATTCTTTCTCCTCTAGTACCTGGCAACCACCATTCTACCTTTTCTTTCTTTCTTTCTTCTTTTTTTTTGAGACAGAGTCTTGCTCTGTTGCCCAGGCTAGAGGGGAGTGGGGCGATCTTGGCTCACTACAACCTCCATCTCCCAGGCTCAAGTGATTTATATGCCTCGGCCTCCCAAGTAGCTGAGATTACAGGCGTGTGCCACCACGTTTGGCTAATTTTTCATATTTTTAATAGAGACAGGGTTTTGCCATCTTGGCCAGGCTGGTCTTGAACTCCTGGCCTCAAGTGATCCACCCACCTTGGACTCCCAATGTGCTGGGATTACAGGTGTGAGTCACTTGGCCCAGCCTCTACTTTCTGTTTCTGTGAATTTCTCTAGATAACTCATGTAAGTGGAATCATACAGTATTTCTCTTTTTGTAACTGGCTTATTTCCTATAGCACAATGTCCTCAAAGCATATTCATGTTGTAACATGTGACAAAATTTCCTTCCTTATTTTCGAGACTGGGTCTCTCTCCATTGCCCAGGGTGGAGTGCAGTGGCACAATCATGGTTAACTGCACCCTTGACCTCCCAGGCTCAGGTGATCCTCTCACCTCAGTCTCCCAAATAGGTGGGACTATAGATGTGCAACATCATGCCCAACTATTTTTCTTTTTTGTATTTTTTTTTGTAGAGATCAAGCTTTGCTGTGTTGCCCAGGGTGATCTCAAATTCCTGGGCCCAAGCGGTTTGCCCACCTTGGCCTCCCCAAATGCTGAGGTTACAGGTGTGAGCCACCATGCCTGGACTTTCTTCCTTCTTAAGGCTGAATAATATTCCTTAGCCAGGGTGGGCAGATTGCTTGAGCCTAGGAGTTTGAGACCAGCTTGGGCTACATGGTGACCCCCATCTCTTAAAAAAAAAGGACATCTTCCTTTTGGGTATTTACCCAGAAGTGGGATTGCTGGATCATATGCTAGATGTATTTCTGATTATTTTTAGGGATCTCTATACTTTTCCCCATGGCAGTTGCATCATTTCATTTTACAGCCCCACTAGTAGGGCACAAGGGTCCCAATTTCTTAACATCCTAACTTGTTTTTTTTTTGATAGTAGCCATTCTAATGGGTGTGAAGTCACTGTGGCTTTGATTTGCATTTCTCTGATGGTTAGTGATGGTAAGCATCTCTTCATGTGCTTGTTGGCCATTTGTATATCATCTTTGGAGAAATGTCTATTATACTCGAGAGTTTACTTCTGGGCTTTCTATTCTATTCCATAAGTCTATTTGTCTTTATGCCCATGCCACACTGTTTTGATGACTATAGCTAGTGGTATGTTTTGAAATCAGATGTATGAAGGCAGAGGCTTTTGATGTTCATCTTTTCCACCATCATATGTTCTCCATGACCTACAAGAAAATAGCAGGATCCCTGGGTGTTCTCTGAATATCTTGAACCCTTTTGAGCCAATATCTGGTCTCAATTTTAATGATCTCAAGCCATCAAGTTTTATTTTCTATAGAGGAATCTAAGTCTTTATGTCAAGGCCACAAAAGGCAATATACAAAAAGAACACTGAGGAGATGAATTACTTCATTCCACAGAAATCCATAGCTGTCAGTATGTAGGTCAATGCCAGGTAGCAGGTGAATTTAGAGAGAAATATAACCCTCAGTGGGGCTCACCCCTCCCCTGCTTCTTCCTCCTCCTCTGCTTGAAAAGGTTCCATGGGAAACTCAGAATGAAGTAGGATCATGCAAAATTTTATAGACCAAATACAGGTCTGGGAGCAAAAGACACACACAATAACGTGACCTTCAACACAGCCTGTTAACACTTTTCAGTTTATTTTGCAATAGTCAATTCAACCATGACAAATGAGTGCATGAATTAATGATAGCAACATCTTGACCTCACATGCAAAGGGACTTAAAAAAAACTTTATTGCAGCTTCTTAGAGCAGAACTGAATGTGCAATGCTAGGACCATGTTTGGATGCTCAGAGTGGGAAACTGAGGCATAGGAGAAGGAAGCAAGCCATGCTGGGGGGGCTGGCCCATCCCAAGGAGCCAAAATATCTGCAAGGGCTCTTGCTTGCCACACTGCAGAGGACCCAGCGACAACTGGCTAGGAGGGAGAGGACGCTGGGGAAGATGGGCTCAGGGCACCATGTTCCACCACTTGAAGGAGAAGGGCTTTCTGCGCACATTGGTGCCACAGTGCACCTCCCCCTGCCTGATGTGGTAGGTGTAGAAGTCATTGATGAAGGTACAGTGCAGGCCCAGCGGCTCCAGCAGGGACCGCACCTTCTCCTCCAGGCAGCAGCGGCCATTGATGATGGGCCCGAAGGGCTTGGGGATGCCCAGGTACTTCCCCAGCACCAGCATGTTCACCTGCAGAGAAGTGAGGGCTCAGGTCACAGGTGGCAGCGGGCAGCCTGCAGCGTGATCTGAGCGGCTCCTCCCTTCTCAGAACTTTGGAAATAATAGCCCCTCCTGGGATGGTGGCTCACACCTGTAGTCCCAGCACTTGGGAGGCTGAGGCAGGAGGATCGCTTGAGCCCAAGAGTTTGAGACCAACCTGGGAAACATGGCAAAAACCCCATCTCTACAAAAAAATATTTTAAAAAGTCAGCCAGGCATGGTGGTGTGCACCTGTGGACCCAGCTACTTTGGAGGCTGAGACAGGAAGATCACCTGAGCCCAGGAGTTCAAGGCTGCAGTGAGCCGTGATTGTGCCACTGCACTCCAGCCTGGCAGCCTGGGTGACAGAGCGAGACTCTATCTCAAAAATAAAATATGCCTTTCATGGTGTCTCATGCCTACAATCCCAGCACTTTGAGAGGCTGAGGCGAGTAGAGCACCTGAGGTGAGTTTGAGACCAGCCTGGCCAACATGGTGAAACCCTATCTTTACTAAGAATAGAAACATTAGCCAGGCGCGCCTATAGTCCCAGCTACCCGGGAGGCTGAGGCAGGAGAATTGCTTGAACCCAAGAGGTGGAAGTTTCAGTGAGCCAAGATCATTCCATTGCACTCCAGCCTGGGTGACAGATTAAGGCTCTGTCTCAAAAAATAAAACAAAACAAAAGAAAAATGATAGCCCCACTTTACGAATGAGAAAACTGAGGGCCAGACATGGAAAGTGGTTTGCCTAAGGCCACCCAGCTATTCTAGGACTTACAACTATTAGACTCCAGGTTCCATACTTTTTTTTTTTTTTTTTTTTTTGAGATTGAGTCTTGCTCTTGTCACCCAGGCTGGAGTGCAATGGCACAATCTCAGCTCACTGCAACCTCCGTCTCCTGGGCTCAAGTGATTCTCCTGCCTCAGCCTCCCAAGTAGCTAGGATTATAAGTGCCCACCACCACACCCAGCTAATTTTTATATTTTTAGTAGAGATGGGGTTTCACCATTGGCCAAGCTGATCTCAAACTCCTGACCTCATGATCTACCCGCCTTGGCCTCCCAAAGTCTGGGTTTACAGGCGTGAGCCACCGTGCTGGCCTTCCATACTCTTATTTATTTAAAATTTAAAAAGTTTAGGCCAGGCGTGGTGGCTCACGCCTGTAATCCCAGCACTTTGGGAGGCTGAGGTGGGTGGATTGTCAGGTCAGGAGATCAAGACCAGCCTGGCCAACATGGCAAAACCTCGTCTTTAATAAAAATGCAAAAATTAGCTGGGTGTGGTGGTGCATGCCCGTAGTCCCAGCTACTCCAGAGGCCGAGGCAGGAGAATCACTTCAACCAGAAGGCAGAGGCTGCAGTGAGCCGAGATCGTGCCACTGCACTCCAGCCTGGCAACAGAGTGAGACTCCGTCTCAAAAAAAAAAAAATTTAGATTCGGGTACATGCACATTGTTACCTGAGTGTATGGCTTACTGGTGGGCAATGGGCTTCTAGTGTATTCATTATCAAACAGCGAACATTGTACCCGATAGGAAATTTTTCACCCCTCACCTCATGCTCATTCTCTCCATTTTGGGGGTCCTCAGTGTCTATTATTTCCATCTCTGTGTCTATGCGTACCTGCTGTTTAGCTTCTACCTATACATGAGAACATGCAGTATTTGATATTTTCTGTTCACTTAGGACAATGCCTCCAGCTCCATCATGTTGCTGCAAAGGACATGATTTCATTTTTATATTTCGAGATAGGGTCTCTCTCTGTCACTCAGGATAGAATGCAGTGGTGTGATCTCAGCTCACTGCCATGTCCGCCTCCTGGGCTCAAGCAATCCTCCTACCTCAGTACATGCCATCATGCCTGGCTAAGTTTTGCATTTATTTGAGAGACAGAGTTTCTCCATGTCACCCAGGCTGGTCTTGAACTCCCGGACTCAAGCAATCCTCCCGCGTAAGCCTCCCAAAGTGCTGGGATTACAGGTATGAGCCACCCCTCCTGGCTGATTTCATTCTTTCTGATGCTGCCCATGCTCTTAACACTACACTCTCCTCCCCTACCTGCTGCCTCCTGGTGAACTCTTTCCATTACTCAAGGCCCACATCAAATGGCAGCCCCTCTGTGCAGCTGCCCATGAACCCCTGAGTTCTGGCAGCCACTCCTGCTCTGTGTTCCCAGAATTCCCAGCACTGTGGCTCGCATGTAGTAGGCACTCAATAAATATCTGTTGACAGGATGGATAAATGACTGTCTGTTGTGGCACCTCCTTATATAAGTAATGTATGTAAACGACTCTGCTTCCTCCATTAGATTGGGAGGCAGCCCCGAGAGGTAGAAAGGTGAGGATTTTGGCTGCAGGCCTAAGTGCGTTTGAATCCCAGGCCTGCTATTCAATAGCTGTGTGGCCTTAGGCAGTCACATCTGAGCCTCATCAGCAAATGAGCCCAACACACGCTTCCATTGCAATGACAATTAGGTAAGTATACACAGCTACAGCACTGTGCTGGCACACAGTAGGTACACAACCATCATCCATGGGTCATGAGTCCTCAAGGGAGCGTCTCATTCTTTGTCACTGCCTAGACACAACCTGTGCGTGCTAAATGCCTCGCACTGTCCATCTCTCTGCCTGTTCCACTCACTCTTCCCCGCCTCCCACAGCCAGCTCCACGTCTCATGTTCAGGCTCCCTCCAGGGGCCTTGAACAGTGACAGTGCATAGTCAGCCCTCGGGGTTCCTGACCACTGTAGCCGCTTTCCTTCTTGCACTGGGAAGCCTGGCTTGACTAAACTGGAGGGAAACAAGATGCTTGAGGTCAGGACTTTAATTCCTTCTGGCCAAGAAACCCTTTATTCCTCACATCTTTTGCCGAATGTCAGTGCAAAACCAGAAAATCTCAACTACTGGATTGGAGGCACTGCCTTGGAACTCCAGGGCCCTAGGGAACCCAGTTTGAAAACTACTGTGGTAGGTCCTGCTGGCTCCTCCCTGAACTGTAACCCCCAGCTACGGAAGAAGGTGGCTGGGGTTCCCCAGTAGAATTGGGTGACGTCTCTCCCTGGGCCTTGGGTATGCTCTGAAGAGAGGGAGGAATGGGGCCGAGGAATGTCAAAAACACAGTGAATGATAGCAAGACAGTGCTTGGGGACCACAGTGAACACTCAGGACAAAGGTGGGCCCACTCTCGCCCTCAAGTGCAGCCTCCATAAGGTGAATCCCACTCAGCCCAGGCAGTGCCAGCCTCACCTGCTCACAGAGGCTTTCCCGAACCCCCCAGTCTGAGGTGGTATCCCCATATGTGTCCCTGTCATGGTGCATAGGCGACCTGAGGGCATCTTGTTTGCTGCTTGACTCCCTGTCCATCCCTCGACCCCCTACGGCACCCCCGAGCCCCAGGGAAGCTGCTAGGTGGGAAGCAACATGGTGGTTATAGCCTGGGGTCTGAAGCCAGAGCCCTGGTGTAGGCAACCATAGAATCTGACTCCCGGCATTGTTGTGAGATACCAGAAGGTGTTCTGGAGGATGTACAGGCCCATGCAAGCCTGGAGCACTCTTGACATAAGTGACTCCATCTTAGAAAAAGACCGCATCTTACATTTCAAAAGGCACCATGCCAACAGGGACCAGACGTGTGCCTAATCAACAGAGACTGCACCCAACCAGATAGGGACATAAGCAGGCATACTCCATTACCGTCAGTCCTCACCAGAGAACCTGGCTACAAAAAGAGCAGGTCTTCACTAGCTCAAGATAACAGCCTTCTTTTCTTTTCTTTTCTTTTTCTTTTTTTTTGAAATGGAGTCTCTGTCTTCCAGGCTGGAGTGCAATGTCACGTTCTCAGCTTACTGCAACCTCTGTCTCCTGGGTTCAAGTGATTCTCCTACTTCAGTCTCCCAAGTAGCTGGGATTACAGGCGCCTGCCATCATGCCCAGCTAATTGTTGTATTTTTAGTAGAGACGAGGGTTTCACCACGTTAGCCAGGCTAGTCTTGAACTCCTGACCTCAAGTGATCCACCTGCCTTGGCTCCCCAAAGTGCTAGGCTCACAGGCGTGAGCCACCGCACCTGGATTTTATGATGGAAATAGCATTAGTAGGGGCTGGGTGTGGTGGCTCATGCCTATAATCCCAGAACTTTGGGAGGCCGAGACGGGCAGAACCCCTGAGGTCAGGAGTTTGGGAGCAGCCTGACCAACATGAAGAAACTCCATCTCTACTAAAAATATAAAAAATTAACCGGGTGTGGAGGCGTACGCCTGTAATCCCAGTTACTGGGGAGGCTGAGGCAGCAGAATCGCTTGAACCTGGGAGGCAGAAGTCGCAGTGAGCCAAGAATGTGACACTGAACTCCAGCCTGGGCAATAAGAACGAAACTGTGTCTGAAAAAAAAAAAAAAAAAAAAAGGAAAGGAAATAGCATCAACCTGACCTTGTGGAAAGACACTAACGTGCATGGACCTGGTCACGTCTGACCTGGTACCACTCGGGACAAAGCTCCAAGCAGTAATGGAGAGGAGCCAAGCCCTCTGGACCGCCTGGGCACCCCGCTGTCCTCTTGGGCTGAGCTGCCTCCATGCCACACCCCAGGGTTTTACAGCCCCCACCTCCTCACCATGTTGGGGAAAAAGGCTTCAGCCTTGAACTCTTTGAGCTTGAAGAGCTGCGGGATGTCGATGATGTCGCTCTCAGCCAGACCCAGCTCTCGCTTCAGCAGCTCCCGGTTCCAGTTGATGCAGCTCTGGGGGGAGGGGGGCAGTGAGGGGGGACTGCTGGGTGTGGGGGACAGTGTGGAGCTGAGGCCCCTGGGCCAAAGAAAGGACTTGGACAGGGTCAGGAAGGCAGTGAGGGCAGCTGCCAGGCCCCCCCGCACAGAGAGGCCTCTGGCCAGTGCTCTCAGGGGACCCTGGGGCCTCCTGCTCCCTCTGCTCCCTCAGCCTCTCCCAGTCTCTGTCTGTTCCTGCTTCTGTGTCCCCATCTTCCAGCATATCCTGAGGTCCTGAGGGAGACTCCTGCCAAATGCCTCTAGTCACTGGGAAAGTGGCTGGTGGGTAGGGGGAGCATCAGATGTGCTAGGGTGTGGGCACCCAGGCTCATACCTCCACAAATGAATTATGTTCTCTCAATGTCTTGTTTGACAGAATGTTCTTTATTTTATGCTGGTTTTTTTCTGTCATGGAGAAAAAGAAAAAAAAGGCAAAGGAATTCAGAGGTCAATTTCCCTCTTCCCAGTCAGTGCCAGGGGACTCAGCGTTCCTATCTATAAAGTGGAGGCAGTGACAATTCTTATCATACAGGTTTGTTGTGAGCATCCGTGAGTCAAATGTCTGTTGTTTTTTTGAGACTGAGTCTCACTCTGTCACCAGGCTGTAGTGTAGTGGCAAGATCTTGGCTCACTGCAACCTCTGCCTCCCAGGATTCAATCAATTCTCCTGCCTTAGCCTCCTGAGTAGCTGGGACTACAGGCGCATGCAACCACACCCAGCTAATTTTTGTATTTTTAGTAGAGACGAGGTTTCACCATGTTGGCCAGGATGGTCTCGATCTCTTGACCTCGTGATCCAACCGCCTCGGCCTCCCAAAGTGCTGGGATAACAGGCATGAGCCACCGCGCCCGGCCTTTTTTATTTTTAATGCATTTGAATGCCCCCCACACTAACGGAACAGCACAAAATACAGGCAACATTAAAAATATCTACTTGCATGTGGGATAATTTAGTGAACGGATAGAATCTACTGTGTGATAAAATGCTATGAATACCATTTAGTTGCCGTAGATAAGAAATGTTCTGGTTTTAGGTGGGGTAATCCCAGCACTTTGGGAAGCTGAGGTGGGTGGATCACCTGAGGTCAGGAGTTCAAGACCTTCCTGGTTTCTACCAAAAATAGACCATCCTGTTTCTACTAAAAATACAAAAAATTAGCCGGGTGTGGTGGCAAGTGCCTATAATCCCAGCTACTTAAGAGGCTGAGGCAGGAGAATCACTTGAACCGGGAGGCGGAGGTTGCAGTGAGCTGAGATTGCGCCTGAGGAATTGAAGCTGAGGAAAACTTCATCTCAAGAAAAGAGATCCAGAACATGAACAAAAAAAAATAAATAAAAATAAATTTTAAAAATGAAAAAAAAGAGAGAATGCCCAGAAAAATCTAACAGGTTTACTTATAATTATTATAAAGTTGAACCACTGACACTTGTTCACAGACACGTTCTGCCTTGCATTAATGCTAAATTCTCTTATCTCCAAAGAGATCACGTCAAGAGAGGAAAAAACAGGTCCGCCCTCCCCTGATGCCACACAACATACGCAGACCCGAGGTGGAGCTCTCAGGCACACAGGCTTCTCAACTCTGGGCCTGGCCATGTCTGTGAGCTCTATTGAAAGAGTAATATTTCTTTCTTCCTTTTTTGTTTTTTGAGATGGAGTCTTGCTCTGTTGCCCAGGCTGGAGTGCAGTGGCATGATCTTGGCTCTTTGCAACCTCCCCCTGCCGGGTTCAAAGGATTCTCCTGCCTCTGCCTCCCAAGTAGCTGGGACTACAGGTGTATACCACCTGGCTAATTTTGTATTTTTAGCATAGATGGGGTTTCACTAAGTTGGCCAGGATAGTCCCGATCTCTTGACCTCATGATCCACACACCTCAGTCTCCCAAAGTGCTGGGATTACAGGGGTGAGCCACCGAGTCTGGCCAAAAGACTAATACTTCATTCTGGCTCCAGCCAGACCAAACCTCCCCCAGGTCCTCGCATACCACGTGCTTTCTTCTGCCTCTGAACCTCCACTTGCCCTGTCCCTCCGCCTGCAGTGTCTCTCTTCCTCTCTTTCCCTGCCCCGTTTGCCCAGCCAGCTCCTACCTGCATGCTCCTGCTTGGCCTTGCCTCCTCCAAGAAGCCTTCCCTGAGCTCCATCCACTCAGGCACCCCACAAAGCCCCTGTGATGGAGCTGTTCTGTTGACTCACTTCCCCCGGGCCTGTGAGCCCAGAGGACCGCAAGCTGCTCTGCTCTGTTCACGCAGTCTCCCCAGCACTTGGCATGGTGTTGGGCACACAGTAAGTCCTCCTGGCACGCAGGAGTAGGTAGATGATTCCCTCCAGGCAACAGGAGACCCCGGGAAGCAGGAAGGTGTACAGATGGGAGAACAAGGCAGGGCTGACTTACTCTTGACCCCTTGAAACATCAGAGCCTCCCCATGGCCCTCATTCTGCTGCTCTTGGAACAGTCTGTAGCAGGACCTGGGGCTGGCCAGGAGCAGCCGGAAGCCCTGAAGGCAGAAACACTGGGGTTAGAGGTCAACTTTGCCCCTGGGGCTCCCAAGGAGGATGGATCTGCTGAGGGTGGGAGGAGTGTGGACTTGGACCCAAGCTGGATACCTCCTCTACCCCCATCCTAAGGGTGAAGAAAAATAGCCTCAGACAAGCAAAGTCGCCCCCACCCCAGGCAGAAGCAGAGAGTCTACCCAGGAAGGTGCCATGCTTCCTGCAGGCAGCCCCCAAGATCCTACCTTCCTGTCAGGAGCAGGCACAAAGCTCAGGAACTCGTCCACGTGGCCCACGGAGAGCCAGTCAGAATAGAGCTTCACGGGGGCCTGCACCTGCTGGGCACTGAGGAAGTCCTGCAGGGCCTGATGCATCTCCCGGCTGTAAGGGCTGTCACAGCAGGGTAAAAGGCGTGTGATTGGCAGCAGGGGCTACAGGGAAGTCTCTGAAGGACAAGGGGCTTGGCAAAAAGGTCAGGGTTCTCCTTCAGTGGAGAAAGGGATGCAGGAGCCTGGAATGCCTCTATTTTAGCCCCTAACATTTGAGAAATTAAGAAATTGTTATTCTAGTTTTATTGGGGGAAACTGAGGCATAGAGTCACTAAGGTGAGTAGGACAGAGGTTAGCCTTAGAAAGCACTGCCTCTTGAATTAGGCGAGAGGCTGGTGTTCTGGGTCCACATGGGGTTTAGACCCAGTCTGACCTAAGTTGGTGATCTCTCGTTAGCTGTGTGGTCTTGGGGACATGCCCTCATCTGTTTGAGCTCAGTTTTCTCCTAAAAATCCCTTAGCGTTCCAGTGCCTTGCTCTTCCTTTTTTTTTTCTGAGACGGTCTTGCTCTGTTGCCCAGGCTGGCGCAATTTTTATTCACGGCAACCTCTGCCTCCTGGGATCAAGCGATTCTCCTGCCTCAGCCTCCTTAGTAGCTGGGATTATAAGTGTGTGCCGCCACACTCAGCTAATTTTTGTATTTTAAGTAGAGTCAGGGTTTTACCATGTTGGTGTCTAGAACTCCCGATCTCAGGTGATCCACCGGCCTTGGCCTCCCAAGGTGCTGGGGTTACAGGTATGAGCCACCGCACCCGGCTCCTTCCTCTTGTTCAATCAGATCTCGCCATCCTGGCCTTCTTACACACAGGAGCTCACTCCTGCCTCAGGGCCTTTGCACACACACTTTCAGCTGCTGGGAACTCTCCCAGATCTCCATGCAGCCCTGCCCTTCCTGTCATTAGGCCTGAGTTCAATGGCCCCTCCCCCAGAGAGGCCCTCCCTGGTCCCCCCAACAGTTCCTGTTTCTCCTCTGCCCTCTCTTTTGTTTTTGTCACTATTTGAAATTATCTTGTTCACTTTTCTGTCATCTGTTTCCCCCGCTAGAGTAGTGGTAAGGACTTGTCTTTCATGTCCACGGCTGCATTCCCAGCTCCCAGCACATTCTGATGCTCAATAAATATTCACCGAATGGAAGAGGGTAAGTGGCAGAGCTAGAATTGGACTTGGGTCTATGGGCTCCAAAGCCTGCATTCCGCACCCTTCATTGGATTCCTTTCACACTTTCTAAAGTCTGTTGGGCCCTCTGGGGTTGGAAGCAGATAGGGGAGGCTTCCACTCTGGCCCACGGCATCCCTGGGTTCTGGCCGCCCCTTCCTGTTAATCCCCTCCTTACCTGAGATAACAGCTGCTTCCGAAGAGAATCCTGCCCAGTGGGTATTCCTTCCCCCTGACTGTGACCGGCGGGCTCACTTCCAGGTTCCCAAAGGAGTCCAGCCCGCTGACACCCCCCTCTTGGGGCCCTCGAGTTACATAGCCAAAATCTGGACCCTGAAATAGGAGAAGGGAGTGCCGGGAGTTAGAGGAATGAGGTCCCAGTTGAAGGGGGCGGTGTCCAAGTTTACGGATGAACTTGGGCACAGGAAGTAATGCAGTACTGTCTACAGCGGGTACATAGCAGGCACTGTGATCATGTGTGGAATGTTAAAAGAATATTGAGTTCATTCAGTGGACAAGGAAAGAGACTAGCATTTGTTAGGTCCCTAACGCATGGTAGCTGCTTGGTAAACCTTAACTTGGCATAAAACAAACAGGCGAAACATCTCTTTTATTTTTGCTTAAGACAGAGTCTTGCTCTCTTGCCCAGGCTGGAGTGCAGTGGCTTGATCTCATCTCACTGCAACCTCTGCCTCTGGCTTCAAGCAATACTCCTGCCTCAGTCTTCTTAGTAGCTGGGACTACAGGTATACCTCACCATGCCCAGTAATTTAGTAGAGATGGGGTTTCACCGTGTTGGCCAGGCTGGTCTCGGATTCCTGTCCTCAAGTGATCCATCTGCCTCAGCCTCCCAAAGTGCTGGGATTACATGAGCCACCACACCCAGCCACGTGTATTCTCTTAAAGTTCTGGAGGCCAGAAATCTGAAATCAGTTTCACTGGGCTTAAGTCCAGGGATGGCAGAGCTGGCTCCTCCTGGAGGCCCGGAGGGAAGAATCTATTATATTTCCTTGTCTTTTTCAGCTTCTAATAGCCACCTTGGCTGGCAGCCCCTTCTTCCATCTTCCAAAGATCTCCAATCTCTGCTTCCATCATCACCTGCCCTCCCCACTTCCAGGATAAACCAGAGTAATCACTGTTATCACAAAGCCCTAACATAAGCACATTCAGCAAAGTCCCCTTTGCCACATAAAGAGACATCAGGTTGGGGATTATGATATAGAGGGGCCATTATTCAGTCCCCTGCCCGTCTCCCCTGCCCCCAAGAGAAGGTACACCTAGCCTTCCACACATAGATGGTCTATTCCCTGGGGCTTCGTGGGGGCCATGAACTCCCTGAGAGTAGACTCCAAATTGTGTGCCCAGGTGTGAGTGTCTGGGAAGATGAGTAGGTCTCAAGGAGGTCTGCGATCTGCAAATTTACTTCTTCACTGCAGTTTTGACCTCCTGGGCTCAAACGATCCTCCCGCCTCAGCTGCCCGAGTAGCTGGGACCACAGGCGCATGCATCACACCTGGCTAATTTTTAAAGTTGTTTTTCCTGTAAAGATGGGGTTTCACTATGTTGCCCAGGCTGCTCTCAAACTCCTGGGCTCAGCTCCCGGAGTGTTGGGATTATGGGTGTAAGCTACTGTACCTGGCCTGATTTCACAAATTTAAAAACCACACTTCCAATTCCTCTCCCCACTTCTCTCTAAAATCCAGGCCACCCCGCCTTCCCCCACCCGTCGAAACTTTCCTCGCCCAGGTCTCCATGAACGCACAGCCAGGCCCCGAGGGCAATGCCCGAGCCTTGCCTTCCCCCTCAGAAGCCCCAGGTCACGCCTGTGTTCTCGGCACGCTTTCTGCACTTGGCTTTCGAGACTCTGAGGGATCCTGGTTCACCTCCAACCTCACTTGCCCCTTCAGTGGTCCTGCTGAGTCTCACGGAATTACATCCATGAGCCGACAACCCTCATGTTCATTCACATCTCTGGGCATCCCTTCCCTCCCAAACATCAGATGTGTATCCCAGCTCACCTGACCTCCCACTTGGATGCTGACCAAATACCTCCCACCTGCCCTAAAGAGAACTGTGGGTCCCCTCTTCCCACCCCCTCATTCCCCATCAACCTGTTCCTCCTCCCGAGGTCCTCCCCGCCCAGGGGATGGTGCCTGCCAGCCACAGAGGCCACAGCCTTGCGGTCAGCATTGGTTTGCTGCTCTCAGAGTGAGAGTCAGAATGTCCTGCTGTTTCTGCTTTCAATCTCACAGCTTCCCGCCTTCTCCCTGCCACGCGCTGCCTGCACCCCCGCACCTGTCACCTGCCCACTCCTCTTCCCCTTGCCTCTGCTCCCTTTTCTCCACACATGGCCAGGGTTTGTTCCCTTTTCTAACAAACCAGATCATAATCCTCCTCTGTTTAAGACCCTGTGATGACTCTCAGTTTTTAAATAAGTGGCCTTAACAGTGACCAACAAGCCCAACCCCATCCTGTCATCCCGACCCCTCCCTATCACCTCTCTGACCACAGTCTCTCCTATGACGTCCCATCACCTCCCTTACCCCCTCTCCTCCTACCTCCCATCACCTCCCTGAGCCCCTCTCCTCCTACCTCCCACCTCCTTCGCTGACCCCCTCCTCCCATATCCCATCTCCTACCTGACTCCCCTCCTCCCACCTCCTTCCATGACCCCCTCTCCTCTCACCTCCCATCTCCTCCCTGACCCCCCTCCTCCCACCTCCCACCTCCTTCCCTGACCCCCTCTCCTCCCACCTCCCATCACCTCCCTGACCCCCTCTCCTCCTACCTCCCATCACCTCCCTGACCCCCTCTCCTCCTACCTCCCACCTCCTTCCCTGACCCCCTCTCCTCCCACCTCCCATCTCCTCCCTGACCCCCTCTCCTCCCACCTCCCACCTCCCACCTCCCACCTCCTCTCTGACCCCTCTCCTCCCACCTCCCACCTCCTCTCTGACCCCCTCTCCTCCCACCTCCCACCTCCTCTCTGACCCCCTCTCCTCCTACCTCCCACCTTCTCCCTGACCCCCTCTCCTCCCACCTCCTCCCTAAGCCCCTCTCCTCCCCCCTCCCATCTCCTCCCTGACCACCTCTCCTATCACGCTTCTGGTTGCTGTGCTCCACCCCTCCAGGCCCTCTTGCTGTTCCTCAAACACTCAAGGCGTGTTCCTGCCTGAGCCTTTGCACTGGCTGTTTCACTGCCTACAGCACTCTTTCCCCAGACATCCACCCACTTGGATAGCTCGCTCACTTCCCTCAAGCCTTTGCTCCAAAGTCAGCTTCTCCATGAAGCCCCCCTGACCATCCTATTTAAAAATGTTCTTGTTGTTCGTTTGTTTTTGAGACTGGGTCTCACTCCTGTTGCTCACGCTGGAGTGCAGCAGCGCGATCACAGCTCACTGCAGCCTCACCCTTCAGGGTTCAAGGATCCTCCCACCTCAGCCTCCCAAGTAGCTGGAACTGTAGGCATGCACCAGCACACCCAGCTTATTTATTTATTTATTTTTTGTAGAGCCAGGGTTTCACCATGGTGCCTAGGCTTGTCCTGATCTCCTGGGCTTAGTAATCCACCTGCCTTGGCCTCCCAAAGGGCTGGGATTACAGACATGAGCCATCACCCTCAGCTTTAAGGATGTAATCTAATCTACCCTCCCCACCACCCTGGCACCTGTGAGCCCTCCATTACACTCTACTGTCTTCCTGTAGCTTTTTTTTTCTTCCTCTGAGACAAGGTTGCATCTGTTGCCCAGACTGGAGTGCAGTGTTACAATCAGGACTCACTGCAGCCTCGACCTCCTGGGCTCAAGCAATCCTTCTGCCTCAGCCTCTCTAGGAGTTGGGACTACAGGCATGCATTAACATGCCCAGCTAATTAAAAAAAAAATTCAGATGGAGTCTTGTTCTGTCACCCAGGCTGGAGTGCAGTGGCACAATTTTGGCTCACTGCAACCTCTGCCTCCTGGTTCAAGTGATTCTCCTGCCTCAGCCTCCCAAGTAGTTGCAATTATCAGTGCCTGCCACTGTGCCTGGCTAATTTTTGTATCTTTAGTAGAGACAGGGTTTAACCATCTTGGCCAGGCCTCCTGGCCTCGAACTTCTGACCTCGTGATCCACCTGCCTAGGCCTCCCAAAGTGCTGGGATTACAGGCATGAGCCACCGCGTCTAGCCAAAACAAATTTTTTTTTTTTTGGTAGGGACAAGGTCTCATTATGTTGCTTAGTCTTGTGTCAAACTCCTGGGCTCAAACAATTCTCCCACGTTGGCCTTCCAAAGTGCTATGATTACTGGCATGAACCACCACACACAGCATCTGCAGCTCTTAATGTCACCTTCTAAGGAAACATATAGCTGCTTTGTTATATTCATTGTCTGCTGTCTCTCTCTCTCTGGGCCAGAACGGCCCCTCTGTGGGTTCAGGGACCTTGTCGTTGCTCACTGTCATATCCCAAGTGCCTAGAACAGGGCCTGGCTGAGTAGGTTTTCAAACAGTGTTTGATGAATGAATGTAAATTCAGCCACCTCCCTGACCTGGCTATTGCTGTGAGAGGGGGTCAGTTACATAGCTTGCAGGCCTGGATTTCTGCAGGCAAATGTTGGGGTGTCCATAGTCTGCAGAAGCGGCTCGCTAAGAGTGGGCTGTGCAGGGGACGCTCACGGGTTCGAGGCAATGCAGCCTGGGGCACAGCATTGGAAAGCTGTTGTCCTTCTCGTTTTCTTTTTTTTTTTCTTTTTCTTAATCATACTCACTTAAGCACCTAATGCCCTTCTCATTTTCCTCCAGTCTTTCTGGTTCCTCAAAAATTAAAGTTGCAGGCCAGGTGCACTGGTTCACACCTGTAATCCCAGCACTTTGTGAGGCTGAGGCGGGTGGTTCACAAGCTCGGGAGTTCAAGACCAGCCTGGCCAAGATGGTGAAACCCCATCTCTACTAAAAATACAAAAATTAGCCAGGTGTGGTGGTGGGTGCCTGTAATCCCAGCTACTTAGGAGGCTGAGGCAGAGAATTGCTTGAACCCAGGAGGCGGAGGTTGCAGTGAGCTAAGATCGCACCACTGCACTCCAGCCTGGGCGACAGAGCGAGACTCTGCCTCAATAAATAAATAAATACAAATTAAAAATTAAAGTTTCAGTGATGCAAACACATCCTTGACACCTGCTAATCTCTCACTTTAACAACCTCGAGCTCAGAAGTGCTGCAGTCACTTGTAAGGAGCCGGCTTCGTCGCATGATTTTGCTTCCGTTCTGTTTTACTTCACAGCTGCCTTTTGCCTGTGGGAAGTGCTACTGGTTTCCCACTGATGCCAGTGATAGAACATTTACTGATGCTGCTTACAGAAAGAACTACCACTGCGTGTCAAGCTTCGTGCCAGCTGCCCAGTGGACGGCATAAGGCACAACAGACTCAGGCCCAGCAGTGCAGGCAATGAAAAGTAATTGAGCAAGTCTGTGATTTTAACAAAATACACTGAAGAAGTCAACAGGGGGCTGGAGTGGAGAAGGTTGGGGCAGGGGTGGGGGTCCCTCCTTCAGCATCAGGGAGGACCTCACTGAGTAGGAAATGGAAGCTGAGACTTGAAGGCTGAGAATCAGCCAGCCCCGTAAACAGGGAACAGCATTGCCAGCAGAGGGAACGGCATATGCAAAGGCCACGAGGTAGGGGAAATGCTAGGTAAGTTTGAAGAATGGGAAGGAGGCCAGCGGAGGCGGGGCTGGGTAAGGAACAGCAAGTCCAGTGCCACAATGGCACTGGAGAGGCAGGTGGGGCCAAAGCCTGGTGATGAGGGTGAGTTTTTCTCCAATTCTTTTCATTCTGAGAGTTTTTTTTTTTTTTTTTTTTTTTTTGAGACGGATTCTTGCTCTGTTGCCCAGGCTGGAGTGCAGTGGCATGATCTCGGCTCACTGCAACCTCTGCCTCCTGGGTTCAAGAGATTCTCCTGCCTCAGCCTCTCGAGTACTTGGGATTACAGGCTCCCACCACCACACCCAGATAATTTTTGTATTTTTAGTAGAGACAGGGGTTTCACCATGTTGGCCAGGCTGGTCTCGAACTTCTGACCTCAGGTGATCTGCCCGCCTTGGCCTCCCAAACTGCTAGGATTACAGGTGTGATCACTGCACCCGGCCTTGTTCTGAGTGATTTGAGTCAGAATATGCAGATGTGCTTAGCTGAGGCACCAGTGCTGCCTGCTTCATCCAAAGCTGTCTGTGGGAAAGGGGAAGGTGACTGTGCCTAGAGTCCGTCTGTCCAGCAGGACGTGTGGCATCAGAAAATCTGGCCTTTGTCACACTTGGAACATCAAAATAGGAGACACAGCCACTGAACAAGGTAGGACTGAAATGAGCGAGAAGAGGGCAAAGTCACGGTGGCAGCCGGCTGGTTTGCCCCAAAGCTGCTGAAACAGGATGAACTGTGCCCCATGGCTGAGCACACGCTGTGAATCGAACAGCCTCTCTGCATCTCCACCGCTCAGTGCACGGCTTGGCCAGGAGGAAGTGAGACTCAGGACAAGTTGTTGAGTTTAACTGAAGTTTCATTCTGAAGCCTCTGTGTGGGCAGGGCCACCATCCCTTCCCTTGGGGTATAGCACAGATGCTCATCGGAAAGCGGTTCGTCCTAGCAACCTTGTACCCCACATTCCTTCCTTCCTTTCCCCTGGGTACCTTGAACCATGGGGCTGCCAGGGCTCGGAGTGCAGGCCTGGGGCCTTCCTGGGAAAGCAGGGAGAGGGAGGCAGGGTGGGGAAGAGCATGCTGACCAAGCCAGACTGGTCGGGTTTGAATTCCAACTTCTCCACTCTGAGCCTCAGTTTCTTTTTCTATAAAATGGGCCTATTGATAGCATCTCCATGAACGTTTATCAAATTAAATGAGTCAGTGCAGGTAAAGAACACGGCACTGGCTGACATGCAAGTCATGCTCAATAAATGTAACTCTTATTATTATTGCTATTATTCTGTACTGAGTTTGCGTCAACCTGCCAGGCTAGTCAAGCACGAGTCACCAGTATGTCACTTCCCACCTCCATACGGACGGCCTCTGACTGATAAAGTCACACCCAGAAAATGACCACTGATCCCCAAACCCCCACATCCCAGATGGAGCCCCTGAGGGCCAAACCTCACCCAAAGACCAAGCCTCCAGCTGGGCATTGGGAAGGACTCCAGCCCTGGCCCCACTGCCACCTTGGCACAAGGAAGCCCGAGCCTGAGCCACCTCCTCAGCAGGGTAACCCGGAGACCAAGCTGAGCTCACAGGCGACAAGGGCTTTGGGAAATGAAGAGCCAGATCTTATCTTGGTAATAACAGAAATAACAAGCCCCACCTGCATCAGCCGCTGGGTTCAAGGGATTCTCCTGCCTCATTCTCCTAAGAAGCTGGGATTACAGGTGCCCGCCACCACGCCTGGCTAATTCTTGTGTAGTAGAGATCAGGTTTTGCCATGTGGGCCAGGCTGGTCTCGAAATTCTGACCTCAGGCGATCTGCCTACCTCAGCCTCCCAAAGTGCTGGCATCACAGGCGTTTACCACCACACCCAACTTCATTCTGAGGCTGCTGAAGGAATGCCACCTGCTTGCACGGGGCTCATTAGCCATAGCAGCAGGTGGTGAAGACAAGCTAAAAGGAGGGAGCCTCAAGACAAGGGGGTTTCGGCAGCCGTGCCCCCTCCCCACCGTGCAGGTACCATCAGGCGTTTGATGGGAAACTCCTTCAGGCCTCTGTTCCTTGGAGAGTCGAAGACCACGGGCAGCGTTTTGAGTGGGGCTTGGATGTAGCCGATCTCCATTTCATCCTGGGGGAGTGAGTGGAGAGGAGGCTGTTGCATGTGCTGCCTGGGTCTTGGTGCCCGACACCAGGATAGGGGCATGAAATCATCTACGTGCTCTCACCCTTGCAGTCAAGAGCACATTCCCACGAGATGTTTGATCTCAGAGAAGGGGCTCGGAAAGCGGAGCTGATTGCCCGGGACTTGCCCAGTACATGAGAGGCGGTGAGCCTGCAGGACTGCCCTTCCCTCCCGCTCCTGGTGGTGCCTGGGCTGGTGCTGGAAACCCCTGGTGAGCAAAACTCAGACCCCCTCCTCAAGGTGAGAAAACCTGGGAGCCAGGCAGTGAACACCAGGGCTAGGAGGTGATGAGGGGGTGAGGGGGTGAGGGGGTCTGTGGGGACACAGAGGAGAGGCCCCTGATGCAGCTAGGATGGGCCAGAGAAGGGCCTCCTGGTGGCAGGGCTCCCAGCCTCCTCCCCAAAGGAGGGCAGATAAGACCCAGCCTGGGCCACTGGAGCGGGCAGGAAGAGCACAGGGAGGTTTCAGAAATGAATCTGCTGCAAATTCCACCTCCGCAGGCTCGTATTCTAGCAGGCAGATGTGATAGTGGACATAATCACTACCATAAGTTACTATTAGGTTGAACCAGATGGAAGTTCCACTCTTGCAAATCAAAAATGGCTCATATCAGCAATTTCACACAATTCAACCTGGTATCAAAAAGATGGAACAGCAAGAGAGGAAAAGACAATGTGTGGGGGCTGAAAAGAAAGAGGGAAGAATTTCTGCTGGGGATGATGGGGGAAATTTATGGATGAGCAACATTTGTGCTGGGATTCACCTGTATGAATTGGAGGTGGGGGATGGGAATGGGGAATCGGGTCCAAGAGACAGCACTGCAGGGGATGGCATGGAAGGGCAGAGTCCTGAGAGGCAAAGCAAGGCAGTGGCAGGAAGGGTCAGTGCCACCCACCAAATGCCCATGGGCACTGCCCAGTGCCAGGCATTGGGGTGCTGGGCTGGATGAGGCCTGGTCTCAGTCCTTGGGGCACTCCTGGCATGATGGGGGAGTGGCATGGAAACAGAACGGTAATCAGATGTTGCTGGGCACAGTGGCAGGCTGGCCCCAAGCAAGGGAGGTAGCCAGGCTGAGAGGGCCCTGGGAGCAGACTGAGCAGAAGGAGGTGGGAGCCATGGAAAGTGCTGGAGCTGCGGCGTGGCCGGATCTTGTGGCTGAGCTCGAGATGGACAGTGGGAGGAAGGACCGCTCAAGGGATGGGTTGAGCACCAGTCTCCTGAGCTTCACATTATTACCCAGGGTCATCTGTGTGTTTAAAAGCAGGAAGGTGGCTTTCATCTTGGTGACTGCAGTGGGCCTGCAGTGGCTCACAGCAAACATTGGACAACCACTCGCTTGAGCCTCCTGACACAAGGACCTCTCAGGTTCCTACTTCCAGGTCCCTCTAAAGAAGGGTGGCTGGGAAGGCACCAGGATGAACCCTAGAAGCCCGGGTCCCCCAAGTGTCTCTTGGCCCTCAGGGACCTTCACCCTGCCCGCCCACAGGGCACATACCTGCATCCACTGGTCATCCATGTTCTCCTCCTCGGGGCAGATGGTCAGCTTGCACTTGGCTTTCTTGGCCAGATCAATTACCGACTTCAGGAAGTCTTCATTTTCAAAAATGCTAGAGAGAGCAGAAAAGCAGCTTCTGAGTGCTCTGGATTTTGAAGCTCGGCCTGGAAGGACGGGGAGGGACCACAGGTGCTCAGGGGACACCTGTAGCCTGAACAGAAGCTCCTGGCACATCCAGTCCATCTTCTCTTAGCCGGCATTAGCTCATTAAAACCATCTAACAAGCCACAAGGCAGCAACTAGCGGGTACCCCTTCCACCTGTGTATTAGTCTGTTTTCATGCTGCTGACAAAGACATACTCAACACTGGGAAGAAAAAGAGGTTTAGTTGGACTTATAGTTCCACAGAATCATGCAGGAGGTGAAAGGCACTTCTTACCTGGTGGCAGCAAGAGAAAATGAGAAAGAAGCAAAAACAGAAATCCCTGATAAAAACCATCAGATCTCATGAGACTTATTCACTACCATAAGACTAGCATGGGGGAAACCATCCCCATGATTCAAACTATCTCCCACTGGATCCCTCCCACAACACGTGGGAATTATGGGTATACAATTAAAGATGGGATTTGGGTGGGGACACAGAGCCAAACCATATCATCCCGCCCCTGGCCCCTCCAAATCTCATGTTCTCACATTTCGAAACAAATGATGACTTCCCCGAAGTCTTAACTCATTTCAACATTAACCCAAAAGTTCACAGTCCAAAATCTCATCTGAGACAAGTCCCTTCTACCTATGAGCCTGTAAAATCAAAAGCAAGCTAGTTACTACCTAGACACATGGGGGTACAGGTAGTTGGCACATACAGCCATTCCAAATGAGAGAAATTGGCCAAAACAAAAGAGTTACAGGGCCCATGCAAGCCTGCAATCCAGTGGGACAGTCGAATTTTAAAGCTCCAAAATGTTTTTTTTTTTAAATAGAGACAGGGTTTCTCCACGTTGGTCAGGCTGGTCTTGATCTCCTGACCTCAGGCAATCCGACCACCTTGGCCTCCCAAAGTGCTGAGATTACAGGTGTGAGCCACCGTGCCTGGCCTAAAGCTCCAAAATCTTTAAAATCTTTTAAAACTTATTTTAAAACATATTTTTAAAATATTTGACTCCAGGTCTTATATCCAGGTCACGCTGATGCAAGAGGTGGATTCCCATGGACCTAGGCAGCTTCACCCCTGTGCTTTGCAGGGTACAGCCTCCCTCCTGGGAGGCTGCTTTCACAGGCTGGTGTTTGTGTCTGTGGCTTTTACAGGTGTGTGGTGCAAGCTGTTGGTGGATCTACCATCTGGGGTCTGGAGGACAGTGGCCCTCTTCTCATAGAACCACAATGTGGTGCCCCAGTAGGGACTCTGTGGGGGCTCCAACCTCACATTTCCCTTCTGCACTGCCCTACAGAGGTGCTCCATGAGGGCCCCACCTCTGCTGCAAACTTCTGCCTGGGCATCCAGGCATTTCCATACATCTTCAGAAATCTAGGCAGAGGTTTCCAAACCCCAATTCTTGACTTCTGTGTACTTGCAGGCTCAGCACTATATGGAAGCTGCCAAGGCCTGGGACTTGCACCCTCTGAAGCCACAGCGTGAGCTGTATGTTGGTCCCTTTAAGCCATGGCTGGAGGGGGTGGGACACAGGGTCCCAAGTCCCTAGGCTACACATAGCATGGGAACCCTGGGCCTGGCCCATGAAACAATTTTCTCCTAGGCCTCCGGGCCTGTCTCAGAGGGGCTGCCGTGAAGACCTCTGATATGTCCTGGAGACATTTTTTCCATTGTCTTGGGGCTTAACATTAAGCTCCTCATTAGTTATGCAAATTTCTGCAGCCAGCTTGAATTCTCCTTAGAAAATAAGGTTTTCTTTTCCATCATATTGTCAGGCTGCAAATTTTCTGAATTTTTATGCTCTGCTTCCCTTTTAAAACTGAATGCTTTTAACAGCACCCAAGTCTTGAATGCTTTGTTGCTCAGAAATTCCCTCCACCAGATACCCTAATTCATCTCTCTCAAGTTCAAAGTTCCACAGATCTCTAGGGCAGGGAAAAAAATGCCACCAGTCTCTTTGCTAAAACATAACAAGAGTCACCTTTGCTCCAGTTCCCAACAAGTTCCTCCTCTCCATCTGAGACCACCTCTGCCTGGATTTCATTGTTCATATCATTAACAGTATTTTGGTCAAAGCCATTCAACAAGTTTCTAGGAAGTTCCAAACTTTCCCACATTTTCCTGTCTTCTTCTGAGCCCTCCAAACTGTTCCAACCTCTGCCTGTTACCCAGTTCCAAAGTCGCTTCCACATTTTTGGGTATGTTTTCGGCAACGCCCCACTCTACTGGTATCGATTTACTGTATTAGTCCATTTTCACACTGCTGATAAAGACATACCCAAGACTGGGAAGAAAAAGAAGTTTAATCGGACTTATAGTCCCATGTAGCTAGGAGGCCTCAGAATCATGGCGGGAGGTGGAAGGCACTTCCTACATGGCAGCGGCAAGAGAAAATGAGGAAGAAGCAAAAGCGGAAACCCTTGATAAAACCATCAGATCTCGTGAGACTTACTCACTATCACAAGAACAGTATGGGGAAAACCACCCCCATGATTCAAATTATCTCCCACTGGGTCCCTCCCACAACACATGGGAATTATGGGAGTACAATTCAAGATGAGACTTGGGTGGGGACAAAGAGCCAACCCATATCAGCCTGGGAGAAGACAGAGTGTGAGTTCACCGTTTAAGGTCACACCACCTGGAACAGTGCTGGGAGTGGAAAACAGGCCTCACTGGATTCCGGCCTGCGTGCTGCCTACCAGGTCACCCTCTTACTCTTCTGCCCCTGAATCAATCAGAAGAGGGTAGGAGAGGGTCTCCTGAGACCCCAGCACACTTACCAGGGGCTTTCAGCTACAGAAGGGATACCTGGGCCTCCCCAAAATGCAGATGGGCTCTATCCCCAGGGTTAAGACCCAGCAGCTCAGAGGTTAGCCAGAAAGGTGCATTTTACTTTATTTTATTATTTTTGAGATGGTGTCTTGGTCTGTCGCCCAAGCTGGAGTGCAGTGGTGCAATCTCAGCTCACTGCAGCCTCTACCTCCCAGGTGCAAGCAATTCTCATGCCTCGGCCTCCTGAGTAGCTGGGATTACAAGCATGCACCACCACACCGGGCTAATTTTTGTACTTTTTAGTAGAGACGGGGTTTCACCATGTTGGCCGGACTGGTCTCAAACTCCTGACCTCAAGTGATCCACGTTCCTCGGCCTCCCAAAATGCAGGGATTACAAGAGTGAGCCACTGCACCCAGTCCAGAAAGGTGCACTTTAAATGAATTTCCAGGAGTTTCTGGTGCACAATCTCCATGGGCCACACTCTGAGAAACCAGAGGCCTGGATCAGGGTTGAAGGATCCCATTGTCCAGTTCTAGCAACCTCTACAGACCCCTGGGAGCTGACGTAGCCTCAGCTGCATCAGGGCAGGACAGAGGCAAAGACAGCAACAGTAAGAAACCTCCCTGCCTTTTCAGAGCCCCCAGCAAGCAGCAAGCTCTCAGAGGGCAGGGGAGGGGTGGCTGTTTTCCCATCACACAGCGAGTGCTGCAGATGGAACTCAGGCTCCTCCTGGGGTATCTGTGCCTACCCCAGCATCCCACGGCCTCTCACCTGCACGCGTACACCTCCTGCGGGGGCTGGGTGTTGGGGGTCATGATCCAGGGTGCCACGCGGAAGACCACACTGTCTTGGAACAACAAGGTCTCGGGGAGCTCCTGTAGGGAAGGAGAGAATGGAGAGGGAGGGGCTGTCACTGCCACCAGGGCCCAGCACCTACCACTTCCAGCAGCTATTTGGAACCGCCCTGCCCAGCTGGGCTCTGTACTGGAGGGCCACTGCCTGGAAGCCCAGGCCCCCGACGCTGTGCTGCCTTCTCGGCCTACCAGGTTGGAGCTGTCCAGCATGGAGACGGTGAGTGTAATGAGCCCCGGGAAGTCTGTGTCCGGAAAAGCGAGGCCCTCCACGTAGAAGTCCGTGGTGCACTTTCCGCCTGGGAGCATCAGGGAGTGAGAGGGCTGCTGGGGACCCAGGACTACCCTGTACTTGGAGGACAGTTTGCCCCCTAGGAGAAAGGAGGGGAGACTCAGGTCTGCGTCCCCACTTCTGACACCCTTTCCTCCTCTCCCCAGGGCCTCCCAGAAGCCTTTCCCAGGGTGCCCTCATCTGAGGAACCCTTGCAGCCATATCTGGCCAGTCCCCTTAGAAGAAAGGGACCAGAGTCCCAGCTGGGACACTGCTCTTTGATGAAGCCCAGGAACAGTGTGGCAGGGATGCCTGAGCCATTCCAAACTTTACAGGAAGTCCAGTATACACCATTCCTTCACTCACTTCTGAGCATCTGCTCCAGCCAGATGTCAGCTGGGGACTGGGGCACAGCAGGGGACCAGGAAGACAGAGTCACTGTCCTCCTATCCTCACCCCCAGAGAGTGCACCGTCTTCTGGGAGAGTAGCAAGGAGCAGAGATCATCAAAATAGCAGACAGAGAATGTATCTGTGATAGAGAAAATCCTGAGGACTTCCTGGAGGAGGTGATGCCTGGGTGGAGGCAATAAATTGACCTATCACCAAATCGCTATCAGTTTAATCACTTTAAGAATGCAACAGAGGCCAAGTGTGGTGGCTCACAACTGTAATTCCTAGCACTTGGGGAGGCTGAGGCAGGTACATCATTTGAAGTCAGAAGTTCGAGACCAGCCTGGCCAACCTGGTGAAATCTCATCTCTACTAAAAACACAAAAATTAGCCGGATGTGGTGGTACGCGCTTGTAATCCCAGCTACCTGAGAGGCTGAGGCAGGAGAATCACTGGAACCCGGGAAGTGGAGGCTGCAGTGAGCCAAGATGGCACCGCTGCACTCAAGCCTGGATGACAGAGTGAGACTCTGTCTCAAAAAAAAAAAAAAAAAGGAATAGGGTCTGATCGTCAGGCCTCTGCAAAAAAACCACTCCCATGGCCTTCTCCATCTCCTTCCATCCAGAAGCCAAAGCCAATATACGCCAACCTGACCTGCCGCTTCCCCCTCTGCCCTGTCTCCTCCACCCTCATTCACCACTTTAACCCTTGCACCTTCCACCCCAGCTGCACTGGCCTCCCTGCATTCCTCCACCCCACAGGCATGACCTCACCTCCAGGCCCTTAAGCTTCCTGTTTTTCTGCCTGGAGCGCCCTTCCCCAAGGTGTCTGCCTGGCTGTTCCTGTACCCCCTTCTGCTCAAATGGCAACTCATGGGGGACACCTTCCCTAGCCATCGTCTCTCCACACACCCCTAACTCTACTCCTCACTCCCCACGCCCTTCCCTGCCACATTCTTCTACATAGCATGTCACAGCGTTGGGCACACTAGGTGTCTTATGTAATTATTTTACCTATAGTTCTCCCAGCTGCAAAGATGGAAGCAACGTGAGGACAGGGGCTTGGTCACAGCCATGGCTCTGTGCCCCATGCCTAGGACCAAGCCTGGCACCCACTTAGTTGTAGGTGCTCGTGGGCCACTGAGAAGTTCCTGATGTCTCTGATGAGCAGGAGATTGCAGAGCAAATGATTACATGGCACATGATGTCAGCTTGCACTCAACGTCAATAACCAGGAGCCTGTGTGTGTGTGTGTGCGTGTGTGTGCGTGTGCGTGATAGAGAGAGAGAGAAGCAGGAACAATAACCAGTCATTTTGTCTGTGTCCTCCATCTAGAAGGTAGTAGGCGAGTTGTTGTCTGTCTTGCCCACTGTTGTGTCTGCTGCTTAGAACTCAGCACATAGTAGGCACTCAGGATTTACCTGCCACACAGCTGTGTGACGGGATTGTGCCCCATTGGCCAGGGCAGGAGGGGAACACAGATGGGGACAACTCACGTGTGGCCTGAAACACCCTCACTTTGTCCATCTCAGATCTGGCCACGTGGAGCACCAGTTTATGCATGGTGAAGAAGTCCCTGGGGGTCTTCGTGCTCAGGGTCATCAGGGACATGTCCTGCAGGTCTGGGATGAGAAGGGCATTGCCTGAGTCACAGGCCCCTGAGACGGCCGCTGGTTTCCCATAGCCACCTCCTGTCGGAGCCTCACACCTCGCCCCTCCCCTGAGACCTCCCTTTACCATGCTGCCTGGTTTTCTCTTCTTTATGCTGTTTGAGTATTTAAATGGTTTTCATTTTGGAATGAGAGCTCATTGAGGTTTTGGTCTCCTCCTACTAGGATAAGCTGGGGATGTAACCTCAGCAAAGTGGGGACCACATTTATTACTCTTTTGTTCTTTGCAGCGTTCCCTGAATCTGGAACCTAGAAAGCCGAGAACTCCCTAGAACAGTGACCAGCCTGTGGCAGGTACTCAGTTGAGATTTGTGCAATGAACGAGTGAAAGATTTCTGTGCTGGCCCTGAGCGAGAAACAACGTTTGTGAACCAACTGGAATAACAGGCAGACACGGGTGGATGTGGGGAGAGTTTCCAAGGGCCTGATTGACGGACAAGGGCTTAAAGGCTTTGGGGTCAACTTGGTTTGAATCTGGGAACTGGGTGGGCTTAGGAAAGTGATTTCAGCTCTGGCTGCCTCTGTTTCCTCATCAGTAAGATGGGGCAAGAGTTGTACCTGCCACAGGGCTGTTGTGAAGGTAAAGTGAGGCAATCCACAGTGCTTATTCCAGCTCCTGGAGCCCCGGGAGTGCCCACAAAGGGCAGCTGTTGTGATTATTACTGTATGCCTGGCACTCTACAAAGGCTGAACCCTCGCATCAGGCCAGGCCAACTGCATGGAACCTGGAAATACATCCATCTCTATGCTATTCAAAGAGCGCCCCAGGATGGCCTGCCAGCCCAAGCCCCTTAGCGCCTTCCTCCAGCACAGGGGGATAATGTGTCCTCACTTCAACCCTAGGGCCACCGGTACGCAGCCAGAGGTCTGCTGCAGAGACCCTGCACCCGCCCAACCACACTCATGCCCCTCAACCCGCTCCGGTCTTGGGACGTCTTGGGTTCAAACCCCAAGTCTGCTGCGGATCAGTGGTGTGACCTTGGGGAAATTCTTAGCTCTCCACGCCTTGGTTTTCCTATCCATCAAGCTTTGTGTTGGAGGATCCAGTGAGTTCAGTGTTCCAAGCTCTCAGAGTCATGCCTGGCCTATGGCAGAGTTCTCAGGGGCTGTTCTGATGTGAGTTTGGGAATGAGAAGTTTTCATTTCCAGTGATTTCAGGCTCCAGGTTTGACCTAAGAGCATTGAGGTCGGGCAGCGGGGTGAAGCATGGAAGCCACAGGAGGCATCAGGAGACAGCATTGGCCTCAGCTCTTCCCTGACTGCTGTGTGAGCTTGGGCAGGTCACCTGCCTCCTCAGGGCCTTTGCTTCACCTATAAAACCGACATGCTAACAAGAACATGCTTTCAATAACCCTTATTTCAGAGGGCCGCCTCCAGGTTCAGGCTGTGTGGGCAAAAGGGCTTTATAAAAAGCCCTTCCCATTAACTAAAGAGCAAATGCTCTTTACCTTTGCTGTCAAGCACTTCCTCATCCTCGCAGTCCATGGCAGAAGATTTGGGACTGTCTCTGTCACAGTTCACCAGCAGGATGGCACCTTGTCCACTAGGGCCCCAGGTCCAGGTCCTCTGGACACCAGCAGAGAAGAGTCACGCTTAGAAACTAGCATAGACCCCTCCAACCCTGGCAACAGGCATAGCCGACCTTCCCCATCACCTCTGTAACCCAGTGCAGTTTACACAGCTGGCCGCCACATCAATTCATTCTTTTATCTCAAGAGTGGGTTTTTACCTTTTACTCCAAAAGTCACAACCAAATTCACCCCAAACACAATTCATCCATTTAAACAAAGGAGCCCAAGACAGTCAAATGGATTTTAACAGCTTTTAAGAAAGGTTGGCCAGACACAGTGGCTCACACCTGTAATCCCAGCACTCTGGGAGGCCAAGGCAGGCGAATCACCTGAGTTCAGGAGTTTGAGACCAGCCTGGCCAACAAGGTGAACCACATCTCTACTAAAAATACAAAAATTAGCTGGGTGTAGAGGCACACGCCTGTAGTCACAGCTACTCAGGAGGCTGAGGTAGAGGAGAATCACTTGAACCAGGGAGGTGGAGGTTGCAGTGAGCCAAGATCATGCCACTGTACTCCAGCCTGGGCAACAGAGTGAAACTCTATCTCAAAAAAAAAGTTGAGCTTGACAAACTAAATGCAGCTAGTTATGTATGCCAAGATTCTAATCTAAATAGTTACTATTATGTGAACTCTGAATTACTCATTCAGCAAAGTGTGGTACTATTCTTAGCAGCCAGGGAGTATCCCTCCAAAGATTAAAGCACAGGAAGCAGCCCCACCCTGCAGGGACCTAACAGCGATGGCGCCTCCCTTCCAGGAGAGCATTTGCCCCCAGGCAATGACTGCATTTTGGGAGGGATACAGGGATAGATTCTACTCCTAGAGTTGTAATTCTTCCCACTTTTGCTGACCCCACAAAGGATCTTCAACTAGTTACAAGTCACAGCCCGCAGTGTACACCAGCATTAAATGGGGCAGGCAGTTTGGGGTTCCAGGTTTACCTGTGGACTCTGGTTTAAGACAGTGCTCACCTGCCCCGTCTGCACACCCCACCATCCCGTCTTTCCCCCACACACCCGCCCGCTCTCCACCTGGCTCCTTCCTGCCTCTCTCCCTGCCATTTCTTCCTTTCTCTGTTATTCCCCCATGTAGGCAGCTCTGCAGAACTCTCTCTCATCAGCCCTACAGCATGGAGTAGGGAATTTTTGAGCCAGTCAAGACCCGCCCTCGAATTTCCTCTCTGCTGTGTATTCATTGGGTGACCCAGCAGCGTGTCCAGTTTGTAGGACAACACATTTTCCGAACCCACACTTGGTGAAAATCTGATCTTGTAAAATAGATGGGAAATACATAAACCAGAATATTAATGGTGATGCTAATTTTCTTTCTCTCTTTTTTTTTTTAACAGTTCACATGGGATACGTGAGACAGACCAGCATTTACTCCATCACCACAAGGGGACGCCCGGGGAGAACCCAGCGGAACACGGAAAGGAGCGCTTGGGTGAGCGGTACCTGATCTTTCACAGCTCTGGTTGGCTTCACTTTGCCGGTGCGGGTGATGTCTGCGTACAGGGAGATTTCTGAAATCCCACCAAGTAAGAAGAGGGGGTTGGTGAGGGGCCAGGGTTGGGGCATCCAGCCTTGCCCCAAATGGGCAGGTCCCAAGGGACTGTCTGCACTCATAGTGGGAGTCCCTCTTCCTTGCCTTCCGAGGAGACACAGGTTCAAGACATCCCGCCCCCATGGCCCCCAGGATGTCTGGCTACAGTTCAGACAGCAGAGCTGGGGCCTCTGACCATACCTGTTCCCCTTCAGCGGGGCCACAAGTGTGATGTCAACCAGACCCTGCATGTCTGGCCACACCCAGGGATTTTGGAAGGAACTCCCAGCCACCCCAATGAGAGGTTCAGGGTGAGCCCCAGCCCTCAGTGACCTTGGGGTGGGAGACACAGCAGTGACACCAGCCCCACCCAGCTCATGACATGTGTTGTGACTGCCTCCGGGGACAACTGCAGCCCTGAATGTACCCCACTTCCTCCAAATGGCATGACTGAGAAAGCAAACATTTGTAAATTCTTCCTCCCTCATCGGAATATATGACCACAAGGTCATTCCAATAAAATAGATCTCTGTGTCCCACAGCATGATAGGGTGACCCTTGTCCTACATGAGCCTGACCCAGATGACCTTCTAAACATATTCACAGCCACATCTTAGTAAGGGCCAGACAAGCATTGTCTTTTCATGGCCTGAACTCCCCAACTCCTGCACTAACCAATTGTGTGACCTTGGGCAAGTCTGCTTAGCTCCTGTGCCTCAGTTTCCTCACCTGTAAAATGGGACGATAATAATAATACCAATTTCACTGGATTGCTGTAAGGACTAAATGTAAAGTCTTAGCACATGCCTTGCGATAGAGTAAGTGCCATGGGATTATTTAAATGTGTATTAATGAATAAAATGCATTAATGAAGTGAAACATAAAGATTCCATACACTACATATTATACATATGTGTGTGTGTATATATACAGAGTTTTTATTTTTTGAGACTGCGTCTCACTCTGTCACCCAGGCTAGAGTGCAGTGGCGCAACCACGGCTCACTGCAGTTCTCCTGGGCTCAGGCAGTTCTCCCATGTCAGCTTCTTGAGCAGCTGGGACTACAGGCACATCCCGCCATGCTCAGCTAATATTATATATATATATATATATTATAGAGACAGGATCTCACTATGTTGTCCAGGCTGGTCTCAAACTCCTGGGCTCAAGCGATCCTCCCATCTCAGCCTTCCAAAGTGCTGGGATTGCAGGTGTGAGCCACCATGTCTGGCTGCTGCTTATATACATAATACACAAAACGATACTAATCATGATATTATTGTTTGAAATGAGGTCAAAGAATGAATTTTATTTAAAGAAGAACATTACATGAATCTGAGAAGAGATAGATCATTGATAAGGCAGAAATGGTGAAGATGAGACGTAAATAACGGAATTTTGGGAGCACTGTCTATATTGTACAAGACAGTGTCATCATCTTTTTGTTACAGATATTTGAGGTATCAAAAAGGGATAGAGGGTCGGGCACAGTGATTCACACCTGTAATCCCAGCACTTTGGGAGGCCAAGGTGGGCGGATCACCTGAGGTCAGGAATTCAAGACCAGCCTGGCCAACATGGTGAAACCCCATCTCTACTAAAAATACAAAAATTAGCCAGGTATGGTGGCGCACACCTGTAGTCCCAGCTACTAGGGATGCTGAGGCGGCAGGATCACTTGAACCCAGGAGGCGCAGGTTGCAGTGAGCCAAGATCGTGCCATTGCACTCTAGACTGGGTGACAGAATGAGACTCCGTCTCAAAAAAAAAAAAAAAAAAAAGGAATAGAAATGCATATATTGAAAATCCATGTACCTACTTCCTAACTTGAGAAATGAAATGTTAAGATGTAATTAAAGTTCCCGGCTCCACCACGCCCATATTACGTTTCTTTATGGTTCACTGACGAGGGATGGAATATTTCTGAACTACCAGATGTCTGACTGGCTAGAAACCATGCTTTTTCTCTGCTCACTCGAAATTACGCTCCAGTTTAGTTTCTCCTGCAGAGATATCCTGCAGGGATTAGGGGTGGGTAGGGGATGAGATGGCGCTCTAGGATCCGGCTTGTCACTTACCCACCCCGGTGAGGTAGAGTAGAGCTTTGACTGGTGGAGTCTTCGGTCTGTAGTATGAAATCTGAACCTGCAGGAGAGCAGATCACTAATGACTTATCCTAGTCATTCAACAAACACCCACTAGACCCCGGCTATGTGCCAGCTCCAGGGAGGGCACTGGGGAGACAAAGATGGGCAAGAACTAGTCCCAGCCTGTAAGGAGTGCCCCATCTGATGGGAATGGAGGGAAGGCAAAAAGCTTGAATGACTGATGCTACAGAGGAGTGCCCTGTGGGGGCCCAACAATGGAGACACTCTGCCTGGCAGGGTGGTTTGTGAAGGAGTGCCCTTTGAGGTAGATCTTGGAAAGAGAGTAGGGGCCCAGCAGCTGGATATGGGGCAGAAGAGGCACTAGAAGGAGAGAGCTGGCTATAAGCCACAGAAACTGACTCTGGCAAGCAGAAGGGATCAAAGAAAGACCTGAAGAACCAGATCTTGGAAAGGCAGAGTCCTGGGGGATCTGGGGACCAGAAGCTTTGGGTGGGTGAGGTCTCTTCAGGAAGAGATGAGAAAACACCAATCCCCTGTGCCCACGGTTCAGAAATCCCAGGAGAACACCTTGGATTGGCCAGAGGAGGGTGGAGCATCTGGGTGGATACATCAGAGCAAAATGGTGGTGGGGAATTTCCCAAAGCAGAGCCAAAGAGCTGCCACCAGAAGAGGGGGAGCTCTTGAGAGGTCATGCTGAGGGGTTTGGACCTGCCCTATAGACTGTGGAAATCCAGGAAAATGCCATGGCCATTGCTGCCTCTGCCTGGACCATGGCGTCAGCCTTCCATCTGGTCTCCCTGCCTCCCATCTGCTCCCTAGATCCTATTTGCTAGGTCACAACCAGTGGGATCTTTCCAAAGTACAAATGCCGTCTTGTTACCCACTGGCCGAAAATCTTTTGTTGGCTTCCTGTTGTCCTTAGAAAATGAGGGCCCTGATACCAAATCCTTCAAACTGACTCGCTCACCTCCCTCTCCATCTTCCTTTCTTGCCATACAGAACTTCCTCAGTTTCCCCAACACGTGTCTCACCCTTCTCTCATCCAGAGAGTGCACGCAGGCTGCCCCTCTGAGTCAAGCTCTCTCTTCTCTCCTGCTCTTAGGTGGGTCATCCATGTCATCTTTCAGCTTGCCACTTCTTTCAGGAAGCCTTCCCTGAGCACCTCCTCCCCAGCCTGCCTGGATAGTCAAGCTCTGTTTCTCCCAGGGAGAAGCCTGCTTGGCTGGTTCTGCTGGGAGCAAGTAGCTATTGGCCCAGAGATCTGTGAGAACCCCAGAGGGTCCTGTTGAGCCCATCTACAGGCAAAGGGGGTGTAGTAGGTAGAATGGTGGTCCCCCCCAAAATACATCCAAATCCTAATCCCTGGAACCCATGGATGTGATTTCATTTGGAAAGAAAAGTCTTTGCAGATGTAAGTTAAAGATCTTGAGGCCAGGTGCTGTGGCTCATACTATAATCCCAGCCCTTTGGGAGGCCAGGGTGAGTAGATCACTCGAGGTCTAGAGTTCGAGACCAGCCTGACCAACATGGCAAAACCCCATCTCTACTAAAAAATATATAAAAATTAGCTGGGCGTGGTGGCAGGTACCTATAATCCCAGCTACTCAGGAGGCTGAGGTAGGAGAATCATTTGAATGTGGGAGGTGGATGTTACAGTGAGCCAAGATTGCATCACTGCACTCCAGCTTGGGTAACACAGCATGACTCTGTCTTAAAAAAAAAAAATGGATCTTGAGATGAGGAGATCACCCTGGACTAACCAGTTGGACCCTAAATCCCATGGCAAGTGCCCTTATGAGAGAGGCACAGGGGGATTCCACAGAGAAGGAACAGAGGCAGTATGACTATGGAGGCAGAGACTGCAGTGATACAGCCATAAGACAGACTGCTGGAAGCCCCCAGAAGCCGGGAGAGGCAAATAATTGATTCTCCCCTGGAGCCTCCAGAAAACTCTGGCCCTGCTGGCACCTTGACCTTAGACTTCTGTCCCCCAGAACCATGAGAGGATACATTTCTGTTGTTTTAAGCAAACCATGGTGATTTTCTTTCTCTCTCTCTCTCTCTTTTTTTTTTTTTTTTTTTTTTTTGTGACAGAGTTTTACTCTTGTTGCCCAGGTAGGAGTGCAGTGCTGTGATCTTGGCTCACTGCAACCTCCCAGTCCCGGGTTCAAGCAATTCTCCTGCCTCAGCCTCCCAAGTAGCTGGGATTACAGGTGCATGCCACTACGCCTGGCTAATTTTTGCATTTTTAGTAGAGACGGGGTTTCTCCATGTTGGCCAAGCTGGTCTCAAATTTCTGACCTCAGGCAATCCATCCCGCTTGGCCTCCAAAAGTGCTGGGATTCCAGGCATGAGCCACCACACCCAGCCACCATGGTGATTTTCTATAGCAGAACAGGAAATTGATCTGGGAGCACAGACCAGCATTCCATAGGGCTACCTGTCTGTGGCCTCCGTAGAACTCAGCACCATTTGTAATTGTCTGTTTACCAGCACATCCTCTGATGCCACCACTCACAGGTTTTAAGCCCCATGAGGGCTGCACCCTCAGCTGTCTTACTCATTTCTGTATTCCCAGTGCCTGGCAGTGTCTAGCAGTGTCTGGCATATGCTAGGTACTGACTAAAAGTTTGCTGAATAGAGTTGAATCTGAACCCTGGCCTCCAGGAACCCCTGGCAGCTGTATACTATTGTGCTCAAGGACACTATGGCTGGAAGAAGCCATCACGAGCTTTTCCACAGGGAAAGAGGCTCTGGCAGGTTGGTGCTGTGGGTCATGGCATGACAGTATGAGTGGCTGCCCTGGTGAAGTCCTTCCATACCGCCAACCCACAGCTGTGACACTCACCTTCTGGTCACCTGTGCTATTACTGGCTGCTTTCATCGTCAGGGTCACCTCCACTCCAGGGTCCAGGGGCCATTTGGAGGAGCCTGTGGGAATCTTCTTCGCTGGAGGGATGTGGGCAGTATCCACGACCACCCCTGGGGAGGCATTGATGCTAAAGGACGTGCAGTCCTCAGGGGCAGAGCTGTGGATGAGACAGACGGGGAGGCAGAGGATGCAGTGAGGAGGGGCTGGGCCCCAGCACTTCTCCCAGCACTTTTCCTTGTGTTGGTTAATAGTAGGGGTCAGCTTGACTGGACTGAAGGATGCAAAGTACTGCTTCTGGGTGTATCTGTGAGGGTGTTGTCAGAGGAGGTTGGCATTTGAGTCAGTGGACTGGGAGAGGAAGACCCACCCTCAGTGTGGGTGGGCACCATCCAGTCGGCTGCCAGCATGACTACAGCAAAAGCAGGTGGAAGAAGGTGGGATCACCTTGCTTGCTGGGACTTCTGGCTGCCTTCTTTCTCCCGTACTGGATGCTTCCTCCCGCTCCTCCCGGCCTTAGACGCTAGACTCCAGGTTCTTTGGCCTCTGGACTCTGGGACTTGCACCAGTGGCTTGCCAGGGGCTCTCAGGCCTTTGGCCACAGACTGAAGGCTGCACTGCCAGCTTCCTTGGTTTGAGGCTTTCAAATTCAGACTGAGCCACTACCAGTTCCTCTCTTCCCCAGCTTGCAGATCGTGGGACTTCGACTTAGGATCGTGTGAGCCAGTTCTCCCTAACAAACTCTCTATCTCTCTCTCACACACACATACACACACTCCCTATTATTCTGTCCCTCTGGAGAACCCTGATTGATACACTCTTTCCCCCAACAGGTGTAAAAAGCAGGCAGCAGCCAGTGCTTACTCTGACCATGGAGAGTAGGTACCGTGAGGTTGTCAGGAGGAAATGAGACACAGAAAGCGAATCCCCTGACCTGAAGGGCTGGCATTTGAGCTAGAAAAATGGCAGAGGGATGTGCACCCTAAAGGCTCACACACACACGGAGGCAGGCATGGAGGGATGTGTGCACCCAGAGGTTTCCACTGCGCCACTGTGCACACGCACGATTGTGCACATACAAAGCAGCACAGAGACGTCTGCTTCTGGAATTGTGATGGACCAGATACTCTTAAGGACCTTCCTCTTATGAAACAACTGGATTATGGGTAAAATGTACCTTTTAAAGCATTGCTGAGCTCATGAGAAATAACCCAAATCTCCAAGGATAAGCCTTCTCCACGTGCACGCACATACACATGCACATACATATACACTGCACATACACATGCACATGCACATACACTGCACATACACATACACATGCACATACACTGCACATACACATACACTGCACATACACATACACATACACTGCACATATACATACACTGCACATACACATACACATGCACATGCACATACACATGCACATGCACATACACATGCACATGCACATACACATGCACATACACATACACTGCACATACACATACACATGCACATACACATACACTGCACATACACATGCACATACACATACACTGCACATACACATACACATACACTGCACATATACATACACATACACATACACATACACTGCACATACACATGCACATACACATACACTGCACATACACATACACATACACTGCACATATACATACACATACACATACACATACACTGCACATACACATGCACATACACATACACTGCACATACACATACACATACACATACACTGCACATACACATGCACATGCACATACACACACACTGCACATACACATACACTGCACACACACATACACATACACTGCACATATACATACACATACACATACACATACACTGCACATACACATGCACATACACATACACTGCACATACACACACACTGCACATACACATACACATGCACATACACATACACTGCACATACACATGCACATACACACACACTGCACATACACATACACATGCATATACACATACACTGCACATACACATACACATGCACATACACTGCCCATACACACACACTGCACATACACATACACATGCACATACACACACACTGCACATACACGTACACATGCACATACACGTACACTGCACATACACATACACATACACATGCACATGCACTGCACATACACATACACTGCACATACACATACACATGCACATACACATACACTGCACATACATTGCACATGCACATACACATGCACATGCACATGCACTGCACATACACATACACTGCACATACACATACACATGCACATACACATACACTGCACATACACTGCACATACACATACACATGCACATACACACACACTGCACATACACGTACACATGCACATACACGTACACTGCACATACACATACACATACACATGCACATGCACTGCACATACACATACACTGCACATACACATACACATGCACATACACATACACTGCACATACATTGCACATGCACATACACATACACATGCACATGCACATACACATACACATACACACGCACATACACATACACATGCACACACACATGCACATGCACTGCACATACACATACACATACACATACAGTGCTCAAAGTGAAGAACATCAAAGACAAACAGAGGATCTTAAAGGCATTCAGAAGGGAAAGTCGGATTATCTAGAAGGAAATAATTCAATCAGAAGCAGACTTGTCAACAACAGCGACATCCAAAAAATAGTTGTGTCATATCTTTATAGCATTTTGGGAAAATATGGTTGACCCTCGAACAACACAGGTTGGAGCCATGTGAATCCACTCCTACCTGATTTTCTTCCTCCTCTGCCACCCCTGAGATAGCAAGACCAACCCCCTCTCCTCAGCCTCCCCAACCTGAGGACGATGCTGAAGACCTTTATCATGATCCATTTCTACTTAATGAACAGTAAATATATTTTCTCTTCCTTATGATTTTCTTTAGCTTACTTTGTTGTAAGGCTACAGTATATGATACAAATAACATGAAAAATATTTGTTAATCAACTGTTTATGTTACTGGTAAGCTTCCCATCAACACTAGTCTATTATTACTTAAGTTTTGGAGAGTCAAAGTCATACATAGATTTTCAACTACATTGGGGGGTCAGCAGTCCTGTCCCTGATGTTATTCAAGGGCCAACTGTAACTGTTAACCTAGAATTGTGCACTCCCCCAAAAAGCCTCTTAATAAAGATATTTTCAGAAGAACAGAACCTGATATTTTAAAGTCAGACTTTCACCACAGCAGTTTCTGAAGGCCTAGTTTAGGAGGGAGGTAGCTGAAGTGTAAGAAAGGATGGTGAACAAATAAAATGGTAACTATTTTGGTAAATCTAAACCAACATTGTATATGAAAAAGTCATAAAAACTGGGATAGGCCAGGCACAGTGGCTCATGCCTGCAATACCAGCAGTTTGGGAGGCCAAGGTGGGTGGATCACCTGAGGTCAGGAGATCAAGACCAGCCTGGCTAAAATGGTGAAACCCTGTCTTTACTAAAAATGCAAAAACTAGCTGGGGCATGGTGGTGGGCACCTGTAATCCCAGGTGCTACTCAGGAGGCTGAGGCAGGAGAATTGCTTGAACCCGGGAGGTGGAGGTTGCACTGGAGATCGCGCCACTGCACTCCGGCCTGGGTGACAGAGCGAGACTCTGTTTCAAAAACAACAACAACAACGAAAACCTGTGGGATAAACAAAGGCATGATCACAGCTCACTGCAGCCTTGACCTCCTACATTCAAGTCATCCTCCTGTCTCAGCCTCCCAAGTAGCAGGGGCTACAGGTGCATGCTACTACATCCAGCTAATTTTTAAAGTTTTCTGTAGAGACAGAGTCTTGCTGTGTTACCCAGGCTGATCTCAAACTCCTGGCCTCAAGTGATCTTCCTGCCTCAGTCTTCCAAAGTGCTCGGATTACAGACATGAGCCACTGGGCCTGGCCTAAACTTTTATGTGCCTGGCCTATACTTTTGAAGGTATTTGGCCAGGCATGGTGGCTCATGCCTGTAATCCCAGTGCTTTGGGAGGCCAAGGCAGGAGGATCATTTGCACCCAGGAGTTTGAGACCGCCCTGGGCAACATAGGGAGATCCTGTCTCTACAAAAAATATAACTATTGGCTGGGCATGGTGGCTTGTGCCTGTAGTCACAGACACTCAAAAGGCTGAGGCAGGGAGATTGCTTGAGTCCAGGAGGTCAAGGATACAGTGGGTCATGACTGTCCACTCTACAACGTCTGCATTCCACCTTGGGCAACAGAGTGAAAACCTGCCTTTAAAAAATACAGTAAATAAAGGTATTCCCCAAAAGAATAGAAATGCATTTATAAATGTCTACACATGGGAAAAAGGCAATAATAAGAAAATGAATACGAGAACTCCATTCCAAAAAAGCAAGGAAAGAGTAAAAGTCCACATAGAAAGAAACTGGACAAATAAAAATAAAAGATTGGTAAGAACAAATCCAAATATGTAAATAATCACCTGTGATCCCAGCACTTTGGGAGGCTGAAGTGGATGGATCACTTGAGGTTAGGAGTTTGAGACCAGCCTGGCCAACGTGGTAAAACCCTATCTCGACTTAAAAAAAAAAAAAACTAGCCGGGCATGGTAGTTCGTAATCTCAGCTACTCGGGAGACTGAGGCAGGAGAATCGCTTGAACCCGGGAGGCAGAGGCAGGAGAATCGCTTGAACCTGGGAGGCAGAGGTTTGCAGTGAGCTGAGATCATGTCACTGTACTCCAGCCTGGGTAACAAAGAGAGATTCTATCTCAAAAAAAAAACCCTAAATAATCAAAATAAATATAACAGCATTAGTATTGCCAGTTAAAAGAGAGTTTTGATTAAATAAACAAAATCTGGTAATATGCTGTTTACAAGAAACACACCTAAAATGTAAAGATCCAGACAAGTTGAAAAAAAATTTTTTTTTTTTTTTTTGAGACAGTCTTGCCAGACAGTCTTGCCCTGTCGCCCAGGCTGGAGTGCAATGGCGCAATCTCGGCTCACTGCAACCTCTGCCTCCCAGGTTCAGATGGTTCTCCTGCCCCAGCCTCCCGAGTGGCTGGGATTACAGGTGCCCGCCACCATGCTCAGTTAATCTTTGTACTTTTAGTAGGCAGGGTTTCAC